GCAAATTTCATCATTCGATGCCCGCTACTCATGCTATCATAGCAGTTATTCGATCAAAATTTACAACATATTATCCTACATGGAGGATAGTTCCTTGTGATTTATGGTTTGATGAGCTTTGGGTTCGTATTTCAATGTAATTATAATTAAATATTTTATTTTTAGTTAATAATATTTGTTTTTTATGAACTACTTGCTTTTGTCTTTATACAAAAATATTGTACATAGGATTCACAAGATGAGCTAACCATTAGAAAGATATTCAATTCTCTTGAATCTCATAAGCTTTTTGATATACTTTGCGATGCTCAGATCAAAAGCAGACTAGACTAAATCCTACCTTTTGTGTGGGATGAGTTTTAGATTTATTGGAAGGGAGAGATATTTAATAAGATAAGTACTTAGAACAAATAGAACTGTCATTCACAAAAAGGCGATTCTCTACACAAGAGACTCTATTCCTCCACACAAACATGTCAGAAGGATTGTAAATTTTATTATTTTAAAAAAACTTATTATTATTTGATAGTTATAAATAAATAAATAAAAATTTTATTGTGTATTGCAGGAAAAAAAATAGTCAAACTCCCTAATTTTTTTATTGAAGTTTTCAAGCATAAGCATGTCAAAAGGAAGGATGGTAGAGAGGTGTGGATGAATCGGTGATCAGAAAAAAATTTTGTAAGTTATTTTTATTTAATTTAATAAATATATATTATTATGAACTTATTTTAATCAATATTTTTATTTATTTAACTTATTTTATAATTTATTTGTATATATAGATTGACTTCCAAACTGCCTAATCCTCTCAATTTACACATGAGGAGACCTCTTCTTTAGAGTTTTAGCGGATGGCTGACACTGAGCTCTGGGAGAGGTGTGCTGGGAGGAGAGTCTTTGGTCGTATATATGGTCTTGGAAGACAGAATTCTTCCCAGTCGGTCCACTATTCTCCATTCGATATCGACGATACATCTTCCATGATGTCAGAGGCGCAAAATTTTTATGAAGAAAGTAAAGAGTTTTGAGAAAAAATGAGGAGTGTGGAGGTTGCCCTTTAGAATTTATATAGGATGATTGCAGGGATGAAGGGCACACCATACGATCAGTCATGCTCTTCTACTTCTATACACAATTCCAATTCATCATCTAAGTTGGGTGACGATAACCATCAGGAGTATTTTTTTTTCTAGTGACATTGTTTTGTACTTTTAGTGTGATATTTGAATATTATTTTTATAAAAATTGTATATGTTATTTTTAATTTTATATTTGTGCATATGTTGAACAAATTAAAATAAAATATATATTAAAAATATATAAATTGGCTACACAATAAAATTTGAATTAATTTAATTTGTATTAATTGAATAATTAATAATTAATAACAATAAATAATTAATTAATAAAAATAATTAATTAATAAATAAAAATATAATTAATCATTGGAAATAAAAATTAATTAATAACTTTTGGCACAAAAATGCGTGAAAAATTGCGTCTCTAAAAAATATTATCAAAAAAATAAATTAAATATTTTACATATAAATAATAATACTGACGATAGTTGTGTCAGTATTTCAAAAAATTATTAAATATTTAAATATTGAATTAATTAAACATTTAATTATTAAATTAAATGAACTAATTTTTGACGCAATTTTGCATTGGAAACTAAATATGACGGTTTTCTTGATGTGAGTTGGGTTGAAAATATCACCCTGCAATACAAAATAAATAAAAAAATTATTTAATATATGAAATTATTGGCACTTATTCCATCCGTAATGACAACTTTTTGCATTAGAAAAAATGTGGGTTTTTGCATCTGAAGGTTTATGTTTTGTGTTAAAAATTGTGTTGAAAATTCCTATACACACCTTGTCAATGATTTTATTTTTTTCCAATGCATATTCATTAGAAATTGTCAACATAATGATTTTTTCGTTAGTGATTCTTTTTTTACGGTCATTTTTTTGACTCATTGTTTTGTGTTGGTATCCCAATTTCCACTACCATATTTGTGTTTACCGACACTTTTGTTGCGTTAGTAATAGGCCTTTTTTGTAGTGAAATCTGCATCAACATCTTTCTCTTCCTCTAAACCTGCATCAACATCTTTCTCATCTCACAATGTAAAAGATACTTATTTTTTAATTAAAGAATAAGAATAGTTAAATGTTAAAATGTTGCTAAAGTGATAATTGTTATAATCAATTTCTACAATTAGTTTATATTGAGTATGAAAATTTAATTAGCAATTTCATATTTTAAAAGTTAGAAGAATAAATTTTCAATAAAAATTTATAATAATTTTATTGAAAAATAAAATACCTCAATTTTAAATTTGACTTTAGGCCCCTAAAATCATTAAGCTACCCCTATATATTAGTGTCACATTCATTAAAAATTCTACTTTTAAAAAATATAAATGTTTTTTAAGGTATAAATGTTCATCATCGACTATAAAAGTAGAGTATAGTACTCTTCAAGCAAAGTTTTAATGAAGTTTATGTCAAACTGTTATATTTTCAATGCCAATTGTTAGATTTCCAATGTCCGGAAAAATTTTTTATCTTCAAATTTTATCAGGATTTTCTTTGAATAAAAAAATCATATGTATCCATTCTCTCTAAGAATTTATGCATAAAAATATATTTATGCCTATTAAAAATAAAATTTTTAATAAATATTTTACTAGAATATTGACCAGAGGTAAGTATTGTAAATTTAATATTTATAGGAGAGAAAATCTATTTTAATACTTGTAAGGAATATGTCGTTCAAATTTAAATTTTTAGATGATAAAACTTTATTTGTCCTTAAAAAAACCAATACTCCCATTTATAAGTTTTGATGAATAACAAAATAGCTATTATGACATGAAATGGAAACCTAAAATGGCAACGGATAATAGGGTATCTACCCCAAGATTGAAAATTTGATCAGTGGATCAATTACTAATTATAATTATTTATTAATAATAAATTAATAAATTTAACAAGTCTTTTACTTGTTCAGCCCTGATATAATTACCAAATATTTTAAGGAATTCTATTTGATCATAATTCCAAAATTCACCTCGTGGTCAGTTAACAAGTAAAAAGGGGTATGTCAAGTGAAGGACAAAAATGTAAAACCAAGTCCACAGTAAAACATTAAACCAAGTCGATTTCAACAACGTATGTTGTCCATTTTCATTAAAATTGGTTCGTTATCTGGTAGGCTACATAAAGGTTTAAAATTTAAAGCTACTAGATAAGATTAAGACAGCATTTCTAGATTTTTAAAGTTCCAAACATCTTTAATGAAAATCCAAGAAATTATTCTAAGATCCGTTTCTACTAATTTTTGATTTATCAAATATTTATGATGATTTTGTTATTTTGTTTTTAATTTACCAAACATTTGCGAATATTGATATTAGATTGTAAGGAGATAATATTTAAAATAAAGAGAAAATGAATTTATTCTTTTCAAAATTATCAAAAAATACGTATTAATTTAAATAGACTTTTAGAAATTTTACTATTTCAATTCCTAGAAAAATGTAGAAATTGAAAAAAAGAAAAATAAAACATGAAACATAAAGTACAAATTAGTTGAAGAAAAACAATATGCAGCCAATGACATAAGCTAGGCCACAATTAAAAGGTGGGGAACAAGATAAATATTTATGAGAGGGGCAGGAAGGCATGGGTAGACCTACCTCCCAACTATAACCCAACTCCCCAAGCACCAATGACCTCCCCACCTTTTTTTTATTATCAATTTTGTTTGTTTTTATTTATAAATCATATGCTTACCTACGCTTCATTTTCAATTTTTCATTTTCTGCCGAATTCCCAAAAATATTCCTCTCGCACACAAACCAACAAAGGAAACTCCTTTAATCAAATCAAAGAGAAATGACGCTGTTATATGATGAAGTTTTATCATTGTCAAAATCTGAAGGGTTGGTCGACGGCATTACCCAACAACTGCATTCAGTCAAAACGCGCTTACCCTTGAAATAGAAATATCCGGTAGAAGAAATTTACGCATAGCACGTCTTCTCAGGGTTTTCAATGTGGGGATTCATAGGCCCACTAGGAGAGGGAAGGGGCAGGGTTTGTAAATGTTGCGCTGATTGATGAAGAAGAAAGAGAGAGACGGGGGAGGGTAGGGAAGGTGGTAGCTGGGAGCTACTCGGGGGATTAGAGAAGTTGGCGGTACCACGTGCTGGCTCTCATTCAAAGCCCGTTAATATTTATGACAACACCGAACTGTAACCAAACCCACCTCTCTCCCCATCTCAGTGTTCCAGATTTGCGCATCATAGTTACGACTCTGTTGATTTCGATTCGTAATGTTTCGGCAAAACCCATCAGATTGAAAGAATTTGATCCCAGTCCCAGAGTTTGGAGCTGTCTCTCTTCCCACGGTCAACTCCCAGCCCCTCCTCTCTCTCTATTTGTCCCCCTTTTCGGTTTAGTTCCTGTAAGCTTCGCTTGTGGATTGCAATTTGATTGTGCTTTGTTGGATTGGTTTGCTTCTGGTTATTAGCACTTCTCTGCTCTTGCATTAAGTTTTGAGCTCCAGGTGATTGTAGAAATGCCAATTCAGGAAGTTGCTTTCCTAGTATGTTCTGTTCTGTAAGAGAGTTGAGCAGTGAAATTAAGTAATACGAGAATGTTTCTTAAAACTCGCTCTGCAAAGTTATAATCTTTGAGAGACCAACTTTTCATATCTTGTTTTCTTTCATGATAGTGTAAAGCAATCAATTCACTGATAAGAAGCTACCTATGTTATCCTCTGTTCCAGTTCACCGAGTTACATTCTTCTTTAGTAACAAGATGACGTAGAATGCCCAATTTGTTTTACGAGTGTTGAAGAAATATTTGATTGTAGGATTGTAACCCCTTTTGATTCATAGGCCCACTCGGAGAGGGAAGGGGCAGTTATGAATTAATATTTTAATCCTTGTCTCTTTTGATCAATTGGTTCAGGTGTGAAATATGCTAGAAGCTCGGAGGAACGTGCTAATGGTGGGAGTAGGACGTGGAAATAACGGGCACTTAAATGGGTCTATTCCATTAAGGTCCCCCTCTGTGGTTTCGGAAGTAGATGAGTTCTGTTACGCCCTTGGGGGAAAGAAACCTATACGCAGTATCTTAATAGCAAACAATGGTATGGCAGCTGTCAAGTTTATGCGGAGCATAAGGACATGGGCTTATGAAACATTTGGAACAGAGAAGGCAATATTGTTAGTGGCCATGGCCACTCCAGAGGACATGAGAATAAATGCAGAGCACATTAGAATTGCCGATCAGTTTGTAGAAGTACCTGGGGGAACTAACAATAACAACTACGCAAACGTGCAGCTCATTGTTGAGGTATGTAAATTGAATTCACTCCATATGTGCACTTTAAGGTCTGTTTGCATTTGTATCCTACTTTCTGCTTCTCTTCTCAGTTCCTTTTTTTTTTTTTTGTTTTGGGGGGGGGGGGGGGGGGGGACGGTGAACACTGAAAAGCTAGAAGACTGTTGTTTTCTTGTTGGTTTTAGTTTTCAGGCTACATAGTTTCTTAGAACTCACTCTGAAAACAATTGAATTTTTTTTCTGAAATAGAAAGCTGTTTTCATCTTGCTTATGAAGAGTTTCAAAAACAGAAAACTGTTTCCAAAATATAAATCCAGGACGGGGAAGTTTATCATCTTAATCATTAAGTGTGTAATTCTGATGAAATCTTGGTCATCCAGATGGCAGAGATAACACATGTTGATGCAGTTTGGCCCGGTTGGGGTCATGCCTCTGAAAATCCTGAACTGCCAGATGCCCTGAATGCAAAGGGAATCATATTTCTCGGGCCACCAGCTACGTCTATGGCAGCTTTGGGAGATAAAATCGGTTCATCATTAATTGCCCAAGCTGCTGAAGTTCCCACCCTTCCATGGAGTGGCTCACATGTAACGAATTGTGATCTTTTCTTTTCTCTCTCTTTTTTTTGGGGTATAATTTTTGCTGAGCTCTTGTAAGCTAATACATAAAGTTCTCATTTTAGGTTAAAATTCCCGCAGAAAGCTGTTTGGATACTATTCCAGATGATATCTATCGGAAGGCATGTGTTTACACAACAGAAGAAGCAATTGCTAGCTGTCAAGTAGTGGGTTACCCTGCAATGATAAAGGCGTCATGGGGTGGTGGTGGTAAAGGCATAAGAAAGGTTTGCTTCCACATTTTACTAGTAGTATAATCTTACTGTTGATGACTTCTCCTCAATAAGAACTTAGTTGTCAACTTCAGCTAATGTGACATTTCCATTTCCAAATACTCTTGTTGCTTGTTCTCAATATGATGCAGGGAAACTGCTTCTTTGATTGCAAAGCTATGTTCCTTCATTTTATACTTAATGAAAACAATCATGTTGTTATTTTAACTTTCTAGGTACATAATGATGATGAAGTGAGGGCATTATTCAAGCAAGTCCAGGGGGAAGTTCCTGGCTCACCTATATTCATAATGAAGGTTGCTTCTCAGGTATGGTCTGCATTTGGATCTGAACTAAGTAGTTCTAGATTAGTCCTTTATAGGGCACAAATTGCAGAAACATTACATATGCTTTCTTTAAACAGAGCCGGCATCTAGAGGTCCAGTTGCTTTGTGATCAATATGGCAATGTGGCAGCTTTGCATAGCCGTGACTGCAGTGTTCAGAGGCGACATCAAAAGGTAATTTCAGTCTTTTGATGCTGATTTTTCATTTGCATAATTTTTGTTAGTTTACTTTGTGTGGATGTCTTATATCTTGGTGGTACACAGAAATTAAACAATTCATGCTTTTCAATTAGTTTATGATATAGTTATTCTGGTTTTTTGTTATTGAACAATAAACAATTACCTAAAAAAGGGGCCTTTGTGAATCTTATTGCTGAAGTTGTAATGTATGTTAAACAGATAATTGAGGAAGGTCCAATTACGGTAGCTCCTCTAGAAACAGTGAAAAAACTAGAGCAGGCAGCAAGAAGGCTAGCCAAGTGCGTGAATTATGTTGGAGCTGCTACTGTTGAGTATCTGTACAGCATGGAAACTGGGGAGTACTATTTCTTGGAGCTCAACCTCGGTTGCAGGTTTACTTCACCTTCTTCCTCCCTGCATCATCATTCTATTTTCTCCATTCCTTGTTTGCTTTTTTCATTGTACATTTGTTGCCACTCAAAATGTTAGATTCATCCTTTGGGTGGCTCTGGTAATTGGTTACTTTCTTGAGACAAGTTGAGCAACTGGGTTACAATTTGCCTATGTTTATTAATAAGCTGTACTATGAAGAAATGGAAGTGTCGCATGCCTGCTGATAGTAAAATTCCCTGAAGTCTTAAAGCATCCTCTTTCTGGAAAAACTGCTTGCAATGAGGTGCAGAATATCCCGTGCACAAATGAATAATATGAGCCTCTCAATGATGCTTAGATGCATTCCTAAACCATATATATATATATATGTCTAGACATGATATATAATTGGTTTTATTCTGACATTAGTAATTCTTAAGTAGAGGGAGCAGTCTAATCGTACTAATATTAATGCCATTATTTCTGTTTCAGGTGGAACACCCCGTAACAGAATGGATAGCTGAAGTAAACCTCCCAGCAGCACAGGTTGCAGTTGGGATGGGGATTCCTCTCTGGCAAATTCCTGGTATGATTTTACTATACTTGACTTTATCAATTCTTCAAGAGTATTTTTTTTTGTTATTTCATAATAATCTTCTATTCCTCTTCAACTAGAAATACGACGATTTTATGGAACGGAGCCTGGTGGAGGATATGATGCTTGGAAGAGAACATCTATTGTTGCAACACCATTTGACTTTGACAAGGCAGAGTCTACGAGGCCAAAAGGTCACTGTGTAGCCGTTCGTGTGACAAGTGAGGACCCAGATGATGGTTTTAAGCCTACTAGTGGGAAAGTTCAGGTCTAGTTTCTGATCAGATCTCACTTCTATTCTCACTTTCACGTTACTGTTCTTATTTTGGGTTTTGTGATAAACAATTACAAACTCATTTAATTATTTTACAGGAGTTAAGCTTTAAAAGCAAGCCAAATGTGTGGGCATACTTCTCTGTTAAGGTACATATTTCACCATCATATCATATCCATAGGTGGTCAAAGGCCAAAATTTGAAAACCTTGGCAATGACTGACTACTCTTCAATGGTTTGCAGTCTGGAGGAGGCATTCATGAATTCTCAGATTCTCAATTTGGTAAGTTGCTTAAAAACCTAACAAGCTAGTTAAATCAGAATATATGGATGCATGTAGGAGGAAACAAGGATTTTGCTCTCTCTTTTCTTTTCTTTCTTTCTTTTTTTTTTTGGTTAGTTCTCTCAAGGGCAATGACAGGTAGTGAAATTCATCTAACTGGCTTTGTGAAAGTTTCCATTATTGACAAGAAAGTCTCTGCCAAAACCATCTCTGGTATATGATCCATGTAGCACTTCATCTAGAAAGAACAACTGAGTATGCTTCTCGGCTTTGTGATTGCTTTATCCATTGAGAGCCTTAGATTCTGTTTTGGCTTTATCATGAAATGTCTTTGCTGTATGTTTTGATGTAGTTGGATCTTGCATGTAAAAACACAGCATATGGACTGAGTATTGTGCAAAGCTTCAGTGAAGTTTTATGTGGGTACTGTTGGTTTCCACTGGTGTTCACACTAATGTGGTCAGATATTTATGTGCTTCATGTTTCTTATGTTTCACAACCCAGATTTTCCTTTTCGAGTGCCTTGTCCTAAGTCAAGCCGTAATTTTCAGTTTAATTGCTCATGTTTAGTTTATCTTCCTCTCATTGACATAATAGACAATAAATATACAGTTATTACAGTGGTCTTCACACCATGATAACTCTTATTCATTTGATGTTTTGTACTGCCCAGTGAAGTCACATTTTTGTACGTAAAAGTATCTCTCAACTTGCATAATGGAACAAAGACAATTCAGATTTATTTCTTAGGCAATTGTTTCTCTTACAACTTTTCTTTTCTTTTTTTTTTTTAAATTAAAAGTTATTATGTTGTGTGTCTGACTTCTGCTAAAAGTGAACAAATACTATCGCAGGTCATGTTTTTGCCTTTGGTGAGTCCAGAGCCCTGGCAATAGCAAACATGGTTCTTGGGCTAAAAGAAGTTCAAATTCGTGGAGAAATCCGTACAAATGTTGACTATACCATTGATTTGTTGCATGTAGGCTCTTGGGATTTGGACAATCAAACCGTCCAAGATCTGCAATCCTTGGCTCTAGTTATTTATCATAATTCTGTAAGCTAACAAGTTAAATTATTTATGCAGGCTTCAGACTACAGGGACAATAAAATACATACAGGTTGGTTGGATAGTAGGATTGCTATGCGAGTTAGGGCAGAAAGGCCACCCTGGTATCTATCTGTGGTTGGAGGGGCTCTATATGTAAGCTTTCATCTGTGCTGTTTTTAATTTTTTGACAACTTATAACTAGCTTAAAGCCACTGACTGCTTTTTCTTTTCAAACTTTAGAAAGCATCTGCTAGCAGTGTTGCTATGGTTTCAGATATGTTGGTTATCTTGAGAAAGGTCAAATTCCTCCTAAGGTGCTTGAAGATACTATTTCAGGATTTTCTTTCTTTCTTTCTTTCCTTTTTATCAGAAAGCTTAATTTATTAGTTGATAAATCCCCAATTTGCAGCATATATCACTTGTCAACTCTGAAGTTTCTTTAAATATTGAAGGCAGCAAATATACTGTAAGTTTTCTAGTAGACACTATGTTGCTCTATCATAAAAGATAAATTTTTCTAAGTTTTTCAAGTTTGTAGAGGCATCTTTATAATATTTTTCTCTTTGTTTAATAAGGCTGTAGTGGTTCTTTATTTTTTCTTCAGTTATTGGGACAAACTTCTTTTTTTCTTTAAGGACATTATTAATTAAATTTATGGTGATATTTTAGATTCATATGGTGAGAGGAGGACCAGGTAGCTATAAATTGACAATGAATGAATCAGAGATTGAGGCAGAAATACATACTCTACGTGATGGTGGTTTGTTGATGCAGGCAAGCATTTGTTTTCTTGATCTGTTCTTTACTTAGTGGTTATAGAGTTCCATTACACCTATGCTCCTACTCTAGTAACATTTTAACATGTGGTTTTAATTGAAAATTTTGTGTTGCATTAGAATGACACAACATAATATTTTTTTTTATCACTGAAACTCATTGCAGTTGGATGGAAACAGTCATGTTATATATGCAGAAGAAGAAGCTGCTGGAACTCGACTTCTTATAGATGGAAGGACTTGCTTACTTCAGGTGAGTAAAATATTTTTCAGTAATGTTTGCTTATGAAAATTTGGCAATATTTCTGATAACTCATCTTTGTTGTCTTCAGAATGACCATGATCCATCCAAGTTAGTTGCAGAGACTCCATGCAAGCTTCTAAGGTATTTGGTCTTGGATGGTAGTCATATTGATGCTGACACACCTTATGCAGAAGTTGAGGTCATGAAGATGTGTATGCCACTTCTTTCTCCTGCTTCTGGCATTATCCAATTTACAATGTCTGAAGGTCAAGCAATGCAGGTAAATCATGCCTTACACATGAGAGTTCTGAAGTTTTTCTTCTGAACAATTGTTAAGAACCAATTCTGCTGCAGGCTGGTGAGCTTATAGCAAGGCTTGAACTAGATGATCCATCAGCTGTAAGAAAAGCAGAACCTTTCCAAGGGAGCTTTCCATTAGTGGGGCCTCCAACAGCAATATCAGGAAAAGTTCATCAGAGGTGTGCAGCAAGTCTGAATGCAGCTCGGATGATTCTTGCAGGATATGAGCATAACATTGAGGAAGTAAGTGTCACTTCCCATCTAGAAGCTCAAAGTAAGAACTATGAAGTATAGTACAATAGTGATACACTACAATTGGTTGGTGAAGTAGGTAATCAACTGAGTAAGCTCCAGAATGCTACCTTCTGTTTCATGATGGAATTGTTAGTCTGTGAATCTATTTTTCAGTCCTCGATCTGGCTTATTAAAGAAATTCAAATCTTAGGTTGTGCAAAATTTGCTCAGTTGTCTTGACAATCCTGAGCTTCCTTTCCTTCAATGGCAAGAGTGCTTGTCTGTCCTGGCAACCCGCCTTCCTAAAGATCTCAGATCTGAGGTAAATCCCAAATGCGATGATGCTTTAACTTATTCTTTTGCCCTTGAGTTTTTCTATATTTGTTTTCTTATCCAGTTTTGTAAAATTTTTTTTATGATGATCCAGCTGGAATCAAAATATACAGCATATGAAAGTAACTCAAGCCTGCAAAATCTTGATTTCCCTGTGAAAGTCTTGCGGGCTGTTCTTGAGGTTGGTGTCTTACATCAAATGCTCATAATGCCAGAATCTTTCTTCTTGTTTGAATGGTGATTCACTTTTACAGTAATTACCTTTTTGCTGCAGGCCCATCTAAACTCTTGCAATGATAAAGAAAAAGGTGCCCAAGAAAGGCTTATTGAACCTTTGATGAGCCTTGTCAAGTCTTACGAAGGTGGAAGAGAGAGCCATGCCCGTATCACTGTTCAGGAACTTTTTGAGGAGTATTTATCTGTCGAAGAATTATTTAGTGACAGCATTCAGGTGAGTTTGTCCCATCATGCAAGATAAACACGTTTCTCATAAAAATGGAAAGATTTTTTATTTTTATTTTACCAGATAGCACATTTGTTTTTATGTGGCGAGTGTGTAAATGTTTAGTTTTTTCATATTGAGAGAAGGGAAGAGAGAGACTGTTGTCCAATCTGCCCAACAAAAAGAAGAGAATGAAAAGGAGAGAGATAATTAAATAGATTTGTTTAGAGCAGCAAAAGAAGTGTTTTTATGCCAGTAGTATGTTATAGTTGAACTTTTCTTCATCCTTGGAGCTTTTATCTGCCAAGTTTCAATGCCTCTGGCTTTGTAGGGCTTAGATAGATCTTTTTTTTCCCTCAGCCTTGATAAGAATTGTTTGTAATCTGATCTTTCTATCCAAATCCTCTCATATGATTATTTTCTTGGTCAAAAGTTTTGGATAGTTTGTATAATGGAATTAGTATATTGTCTTTCTTAGTTGCAAGACTAAAACAATTAATCCACGAGTATTATCTAAACCAATGCAATAATCAGTTGATTTTTCCATTTTTATTCTCTTATTCCTTTGATTTATTCTATATTATAGGATTACATCTACTAAGCACAACTGTAATTAATATGGACATGGATAACTAAACTAAATAATTTTTGTCTTCTCTTATCTAGTGAGCTTCTTAGATTTTTCTATATTTTTTCTTCATGGTCGCAGGCAGATGTGATTGAACGCCTTCGCCTTCAACATAAGAAAGATCTCCGGAAGGTTGTGGCCATTGTGCTTTCTCATCAGGTATGCTAACAAACTTGAAGTTTATGCTTGCTTAGCCCACTCACTCCTTTTTGGCTGTCTTTTGTTGCTAATATATCACTAGCACTACGTGTATTTCTTGGTCCCCAGGGCGTCAAGGGTAAAAATAAGCTGATACTGCAACTTATGGAACAAATGGTGTACCCTAATCCTGCTGCTTACAGGGAGAAACTAATCCGATTTTCTGCCCTGAACCATACAAACTATTCTGAGGTTGGCATTCTCTACACCTGACTTGAGGTTCCATGTTATCTAGAAGGTGTTTTTAATGTTCTTTAGAAGGGAGTCTAATTTTCAATTATTTTTCTAGTTGGCATTGAAGGCAAGTCAACTGTTAGAACAGACCAAATTGAGTGAACTTCGATCCAGTATTGCTAGAAGTCTGTCTGAGTTAGAGATGTTTACAGAAGATGGTGAACATATGGATACACCTAAGAGGAAAAGTGCCATTAATGAACGAATGGAGGATCTAGTACGTGCTCCTTTGGCAGTAGAAGACGCCCTTGTGGGTCTTTTTGATCACAGTGATCACACCCTTCAGAGACGGGTAGTGGAGACCTATATTCGGAGATTATACCAGGTAGCTGTTATTTGAATTCTCTTTCTGATGATCTTTCTCACGGACAACTTTTATCTGATAAAATATGTTATTAGCCCTACCTTATCAAGGGCAGTGTCAGAATGCAATGGCACAGGTCTGGACTTATTGCTTCATGGGAGTTCTTGGAAGAACATATTGGAAGGAAAGATGGTTCTGAAAGTCAAGTGTCAGACAAAACATCAGTTGAGAAACACACAGAGAGGAAATGGGGAGCTATGGTTATTATCAAATCTCTTCAATTTTTGCCATCTGTTATAAATGCTGCGTTAACAGAAACAAAGCAGAGTATGAATGGCGGCATTCCAAACGGATATGCTGAGTCAGCCAGCCATGGTAATATGATGCACATTGCACTGGTTGGCATCAATAATCAGATGAGTTTACTCCAGGACAGGTATTCAATATGCTTTTGCCCTTCCACTTGCTAGATTGCCATAGGAAGCTAGCTCCATGCCATTCTTTATAATAACTAATGCAAATAGTGTGGCATTGTCAAAAGAGTAGTGGGCTTTGCTATGACACACAGTTATTTTCCTTTTGACTTCTGCATTAACCAAAATTGTTACACGGCCTCAATTTTTGGGTAGATTTATGCTTAAGATAGCAAGAATCTAGTTAAACATACGTGATTTTGGCCAATCACTTCTGGAATGGAATCGGTTCACTCTGCAAGTATCATTTAATTACAATAGAGAAAAAAGAATCAAACTACAGAAACTGCATTTCCTCTGAGAATTTACTGCAGGTGCCTCAGGATCAAAGATACTTTCTGCAAATTATAGAAGCATATAGTTTAGGGTTCAAAGTTGATTTGTCAATATGATTTAAAATGTGATTAAGCTGTTTGTATATGTACTAAGCTGGATGTTGGTCCAAACTGCTGATTACTTGAGAGGATAAACAACAGCCTAGTTCCAATTCTGTTTTTAACTGAAGCATAAGATATACAAAATGATGCTTAAACCCCTTTCATTATATCACATGCATGATTCTGATGCTCAATTTGTGAATAGAATTCGAAGTTATAACCTGTCACATTCTTTAATACTGTTGTCCTCTGGCTCTGTGCAGTGGTGATGAGGATCAGGCTCAAGAGAGAATCCATAAATTGGCCAAAATACTTAGAGACAAAGAAGTAGGATCCAGTCTTCGGACAGCAGGTGTTGGTGTTATTAGCTGCATTATCCAGAGGGATGAAGGGAGGATCCCTATGAGGCACTCCTTTCATTGGTCTACAGAGAAGCTTCACTATGAGGAAGAGCCCCTATTGCGACACCTGGAACCCCCTCTATCAATATATCTTGAATTGGTTTGTCGCTAAATCCAAGTTATAATCATTTAATAAGGAAAAACAAGATTGCAATTTTATCTGCTACTTGCTGTACTCCCTTTGACATTAAGTTCGCTTGCCTTTGTTCTAATTCAGGACAAGCTCAAGGGCTATGAAAACATAAGATACACTCCATCACGTGACCGTCAGTGGCACCTATACACTGTTGTAGACAAGCCATTTCCAATTCAGAGGATGTTTCTTAGAACACTTGTAAGGCAACCAACCTCAAATGAAATGTTCATGGAGCTGGACATGGGAACAAATGGATCCCCATTGTCTATGTCATTTACTTCAAAGAGCATTTTGAGGTCCATAATAACTGCACTGGAGGAGTTAGAACTTCATGTCCATAATGCTACCATCAAATCTGACCATGCTCACATGTATCTCTATATCTTACGGGAGCAGCAAATAGATGATCTTGTGCCATATTTCAAGTAATCAAATCAGTAGTCTCTTTCTCAAGTTTCTCTTTTAACATAAAACTAGAAAAATTATGTTTATTATGCTTGAATTTGATATTATTTCCAGGAGAGCCAAAATAGAAGCTGGGCAAGAGGAAACTGCAGTTGACGCAATCTTGAAAGGGCTGGCACGTGAAATCCATACATCTGTTGGGATGAAAATGCATCGATTGGGTGTTTGTGAATGGGAAGTGAAGCTTTGGATGGCATCTGAAGGAAAAGCCGCTGGTGCTTGGAGGGTTGTGGTTGAAAATGTTACTGGTCATACCTGCATTGTGCATGTAAGTTCTTGTCTTAGTTATATGATCAAATCTAAGTCTTCCATCAACCCATGCTTTTAATTGACTGAAACTCTTCAAGGATTTTTCTGAATGTAGATTCACATATAGCAAAACTCCATGGAAATGTGGCATTTGAATTCTAGATGTAGTTTTTAGTGATTTACAATGTTTCTGGTCCTCGAATGGTAAACACAGTCTGGGGCGCAAATTCTATAAATCATCTGGCCCTGACTTGTTCTAGGATTGCAAGCTATCACCATTAGATGGTGAATTAAGCAATTCTCCAGTTTTTTTCTTTGACTTAACCTTTCATGTTGCAATACTAATATCCATAAAGATGAAACAAGGAATTCTTCATGTTTACTAATATCAGATGTCCAAATTATATGAAAAGAGCAAAGTTAACGTTGGCTAATATGATGTTTAGACGTATCGAGAATTGGAGGATAGCAACCAACAAGCAGTGGTCTATCATTCTACCTCTGTGGGGGCCCGTCTACATGGTATTCCTCTGAATGCACAGTATCAGCCTTTGGGAGCTCTTGATCGGAAACGGCTTGTAGCAAGGAAAAGCAGCACCACATATTGCTATGATTTCCCACTGGTGAATAACTTGAAACCATTATCAATGTCTAATTTATTGCTGCAAACCTGTATAGATGTAGTTTTGAAAAGGATTCTTGGTTGCAGGCATTTGAAATGGCCTTGGAAAAAACTTGGGCATCCCAATGCTCAGGTAGTGGCAAAATTCAGAGTAAAGTGCTTAAAGTGACAGAGCTCATATTTGCTGACTCTAAAGGCACTTGGGGCACTCCCCTTATTGCCATTGAGCGCCCACCAGGCCTCAATGATGTTGGAATGGTAGCCTGGACTATGGAAATGTCTACACCCGAATTCCCTTCTGGAAGGACAATCGTGATAGTAGCTAATGATGTGACTTTCAAAGCGGGATCTTTTGGTCCAAGGGAGGATGCATTTTTCCTTGCAGTGACTGATCTTGCTTGTGCTAGGAAACTGCCCCTAGTTTACTTGGCTGCAAACTCGGGAGCTCGGATTGGGGTAGCGGAGGAAGTAAGAGCTTGCTTTAAAGTTGGGTGGTCCGATGAATCAAGCCCAGAGTGTGGTATTCAGTACATCTATTTGACTCCTGAAGACTATGCACGAATTGGATCGTCTGTAATAGCACATGAGTTGAAGCTGCCAATTGGAGAAACCAGATGGGTAATAGATAGCATTGTAGGCAAGGAGGACGGTTTGGGGTTGAGAACTTATCAGGGAGTGGTGCTATTGCTAGTGCATATTCAAGGGCATACAAGGAAACCTTCACCTTAACTTATGTGACGGGAAGAACTGTTGGAATAGGTGCTTATCTTGCTCGTCTTGGTATGCGGTGCATACAGAGGCTCGATCAGCCTATTATCCTTACGGGTTTCTCTGCACTAAACAAACTTCTGGGCAGGGATGTGTACAGCTCCCACATGCAGCTTGGTGGACCTAAAATCATGGCAACTAATGGGGTCGTACACCTGACAGTGTCAGATGATCTTAAAGGGATATCAGCTATTTTGAAGTGGCTAAGCTACGTTCCCTCTTATTTGGGTGGTCCACTTCCTATTTTGCCCTCTTTGGATCCTCCAGAGCGGCCTGTTGAGTACTTACCTGAGAATGAATGCGATCCCCGTGGAGCTGTCAGGGGCATTATCGGTAGCAATGCAAAGTGGCTAGGGGGTATTTTTGATAAGGATAGCTTTGTTGAGACTCTGGAAGGCTGGGCGAGGACAGTTGTGACTGGAAGGGCAAGGCTTGGAGGAATCCCTGTAGGAATAGTGGCTGTGGAGACCCAGACTGTGATGCAAGTAATCCCTGCAGACCCTGGGCAGCTTGATTCTCATGAAAGGGTTGTTCCTCAAGCCGGGCAAGTTTGGTTTCCAGATTCTGCCACCAAGACAGCTCAAGCATTGGTGGATTTTAACAGGGAAGAGCTGCCCCTTTCATTCTTGCTAACTGGAGAGGCTTCTCGGGTGGGCAGAGAGACCTTTTTGAAGGGATCCTTCAGGCTGGATCAACTATTGTTGAGAACCTTAGAACATACAAACAGCCTGTTTTCGTGTATATCCCTATGATGGGTGAGCTCCGAGGGGGGGCCTGGGTTGTTCTAGACAGTAGGATCAACTTGGACCAGATCGAGATGTATGCAGAACGAACAGCTAAAGGAAACGTCCTTGAACCAGAAGGAATGATTGAGATTAAATTTAGGACAAAGGAACTGTTGGAGTGCATGGGAAGACTTGACCAGCAGCTGATTAATCTGAAGGCAAAACTTCAGGAGACTCAAAGTAGTGGGGCTCATTCAACTCTTGAATCTCTACAGCAGCAGATTAAAGCACGGGAAAAGAAGCTTTTGCCGGTGTACACTCAGATAGCCACAAAATTTGCAGAACTACATGATACTTCCCTCAGGATGGCCAAAAAAGGGGTAATCAGAGAAGTTGTTGACTGGAATAATTGTAGGTCTTTCTTCTACAAAAGATTGCACCGGCGGGTTGCTGAGAGAGAACTGATCAGGAGTGTAAGAGATGCTGCTGGTGAGCAACTTTCTCATAGATCTGCAGTGGACATGATTAAGAAGTGGTTTTCCAATTCAAAGATTGTAGAAGGACGAGAAGACGCTTGGTTAGATGATGAAGTTTTCTTTGCATGGAAGGACGATATACAGAACTACGAGGAAAAACTCCAGGAGTTGCGTGTAAATAAAGTTCTGCATCAATTATTAAATATTGGTGACTCACCATTGGATCTACAAGCTCTGCCCTGCGGTCTTGCTGCCCTTCTAAACAAGGTTAGCCATTATATATAATTCCGTATTTTAATGGATATTTTCTTTACCTATAACAAAGAAAGTAATTCTTTTGGGATTTTGTTGTAGGTGGAACCATCAAGGCGAGGAAAGTTAGTTGATGAACTTAAGAAGGTGCTCAATGGATTAGATTGACTGAAGTTTACAAGCAAGTATTTAGTTTGTTCTACTTATTAGCTTATAATTTGTTCTATCGCCACAAATAAATGTCAATAATCTGCCTTAGGCAGTAGAAGTCATTGGTACATGTCCTGAAATTCCACAGCTATAATCTGTTCTAGCGAGATGAAAAATCAGTGGTAGGTGAAGGAATTAGAGGCAACTATCTTATGAGTTCAATTTCATTGTATTTAATGAATTGTAAATATTTGTAATCTGAGTTAATGTAAGATTATAGTATTCATTCTTCAATTTGCTTGCTCTTCAATGATTTTCAGTCCTCAACTAATTCTGGTTCATATCTTGATTGCCATATAATTAGCACTGCAAATACCTTCGATTATGAACTAAAGGGGTATGTGGCCAGGAGATGCTTCTATTTAATGGAACCCTTAATTTTGCGGTAGGAGCTTACTTAAACAAAAATCTTAATGGTTAATGCTAGAAATCACTTGTTTCTCTTAATCTTGAGCTTCTCTTTTTCTTTCTTCTCCTTCCTGTTTGTTCTTATTTCTTCTTTCTTATGGCTACTTTTGCTTGTTTCTTGGTCTCCTCCTTTCTCCTCTCTTCCCATTCCTTTGATCTTTCTTCTCTCTTGCTTTTCTCCTCTTTCGCCTTCTTCCCTTCTTCCTTTCTCTTCTCTCACTCTCAGCTCTTCTTCCTTCCTCCTACTCCCTTTTCTTCTCCTTGTCTTTACTTCTCATCTCTTCTCTTCCCGTCTCTCAATTTCTTCTCTTCCTTTTCTCCTCTTTTACCTTCCTTAATTCCCTTTTCTTCTTCTCTCACTCTCTGCCCTTCCTCCTTCCTCTCATTCTCTCTCACCTTTTCTTTTCTCCTCTCTTCCCCTTCCTTTCTCTCAATCTCTTGCCTTGTCTTCTTCTCCTTGTCGTTTGTCTTCTTCTCCTTGTCGTTTGCAGTCCACCCCCATCTTTCCCTCTCCGTTTTTATTTTCTCCATCTCCTCAAGCTCTTCCTCTGTCAGTTCTCTTTTGATGTCAAAACACATTTTGCTTTGGCAATCTAGTCTTCTCACATCCTAGTTTTCACAGAATATGTAGTCGGTTTACTTTGTGGTCTTGTTCTAGGTGATAAACCCACATCCAACGTTAAACTTCTCGTGATAGCCTCTTGCCGTCCAAAGCCATTTACAATTTGCAAGATCTGTTGTTTTCTCTAGAAATTGTTTAATTTATCCCTACAGTCTTATTCATCATAGTGGATCAGAGTTTATCTTTTATAATTCTAACTATACTCTTTTTCATCCCTGGATTTCTAGAATATTATGCGTACTTTGTTTCTCTAAGTTCACAGAATTATTGTACAGGAGAATTACAAAAATGATCTTATTCATGCTTCTTTTATTCCAACTCTCGAAGTTCATATCCAAAATCTTCTTTCTAGCCATCCTTTCAAATTTTTTTTTTTTTTTTTTTGGTCTTCAAATTTTCCAAACAGACATACCCGTTAACGGTAATTCCAACATGGATAACCCTGTCAGTCCAACTAGGAAACCAATGGAACGTGCAAAGGAAAACCTAACCTTTTGTACGCATCACCTCAAACCAAAATAAATAAATAAATAAATAAATAAAAAGAGGAAGAAATGGGAAAAGTAGAAAAAGTTGACTGCTTTTGTTACCACATAAGTTCCCAACATTTGATTTCTCACAACTCACAAGACTTGCCGGCTGTTGCCAAATGATTATAAACTTTTGACTTTTAAACCGATCAAAGTTTTAAGAGTGTTCTGTATACTCGTAATTTTACCAAATTATTTTTTTTTTAAGTTTTAAGAATGTTTAAATTTTTTAAATTTTCAGAAATTATATATTTTCAAAATTCTGAATCAAAACTTGTTTTTCATTACTTAAATTAGAGTTTTAAGAACTTTAATTTCTGAATTTTTTTCCAGCCAAAACAATTCCCAAACTAAAAATTAACAAAAACTTAAAATCCCCAAATTTTAAAATCTCTCGTTACAAATATCATAATCAATCCAGCAAGATTTAATAATAAAAAAAAGTTGAGTTCTCCAAAATATAATTTAAGATAATGCTTTTTTTAGAGGCAACTAAAATATACAAATCTCGGACTAATCATATTATTTATCAGGTGCTCTTAACAAAGATCCTTTCTTCTTTTTCTGTTTTACTTTTTTTTTTTTACTTTTTTTTTTATGAGTGACGACCAAAATTTAATTAAATTTCACATTTCTTTTCTGATCCAACAATATCGCCATCTAGTTAAAACTAAATGAACAGGAGAAAAATGCAGCAACTCAGACTAATCATATTCATTATTGCTATGATAATCACTATTAGAAGGAGAGACTACACTGAAAGTAATAATTACGACCCTGTACTCTTACCTCCCTACTGTCACAAGCCCCACCAGCCACCACGTGGACGGACCTACCCACCACCACCTGCTTTATTTTTCTTTTCCCATCACAGTGTATGTCTATACATCTCCCGCATAGTTATGCGCTTTTGTTTCCTTTTTGCTTTACCATTCCACATCTTAGACCTCTTCTGCACGTTTCGTTGAACATGTTGCAACAGCGTCTGCTACGGTGAGGAAGATCTTGTCCTCGCCAATCAGGCTCGGGAACTTAGAGGCGTATAGTTTGTCAATCCCTTGCCCGGGATTTGCCAGAACAAGCTGCGAACCAGCAAGCAAAGCTCGTGTAAGTTTGGAATTGCATATAGTTCTCATTTTCAAAGAGAAAATAGTTACTGAGGATTCTGAAAACAACTTTTTGTTGTTTTTCAAAAATGGGTTTGTTTTTTGAAATTTCTCCTGAAAACAGTTTCTAAGAACAACCAGCCAAACTGGTTCCCAGAGTTCAAAAACAGAAGCCTAATCCAAAGAGGTCTGTCCCAGAACATGTTAGGATATAAATTGTTTCTTATCTTATAAGGAATTCAGTAATTCAATCACCTGCAAATCCCTCTTTCGAAGATTATTATGTAGCTCTTGCAAGGCATGAATGCCTGTGGTGTCAATATCAGCAATGGCTGGAATGAACATAAAAACATCATGGGCATGAGCTCAACCAAATAAGGTTAAGAATGGCATGCTTTTGAATAGGAACATAGGGTTTGATGCCGAAGTAGAAGAAAATATACTTACGTGACATCTCTATGATCAAAAACTGAATCTTTGGTTGACATGCTTTTTTCACCAAGTCTTCCTCATCACTTAGCCATCTCAATATCCTGCAAGGAGTTGACCAATTAGGTGAAAGCCGCTAGAACTGTAACCAACTTAAGGCTTCAATTATCTGAACCCATATTTTTGAGAAAGTCGGCTCCTTCAGTGAAGACACAAAGGTAACTTCACTAATGATAGAATTGCAAAAATTTCATGTAAAGGTTATGAGCCAATATTATCCCTTCATGTTTGGCATAATAAACTAATCCTTTGACCAGAAATTTGAGATAGAAGCACACGTGCTCTGGAGGAAAAAGTTATTGATGAACTCTTTACCTTTCCCTGACATAGTTGGAGTTTGAAAAGTAGATTGCAGAATCAACTCTCACAATCAAAATACCCGGAACCTTAGTTGCTTCTGGGTATTGCTGGATGTTCCTATAGACATTTGTCCTAGGGACCCTACCAAGAATTGCAATCCGTGGCCTCGTGACTTGTAGAAGGATTTTAGCAAAAGATATTGAGACCTATCATGACAATCAGCAAAATCATTTAGTTTTCATCATCCTTAGGATGAGCAAAAGAACATATAACAATCGATACCTCAATCCTTACCGCAATTAAGAGCCCAATTTCAACAGAAACAAAGACCACGCCAAAAAATGCCCCCAGGCATGCAATGAAGTCTAGTTTATCAGTCTTCCATATCAAAATAGCTGCTTCAAAGTCAATTAGGCCGATGACAGCAGATATAATGATGGAGGAAAGAATGGCATTTGGGGTGTACTTAAATAGTGGAGTGATGAATTCCAAGGTTAGAAATACAACACATGACATCACAATGTTGGAAACAGCAGTTTGGCAACCTGCCATGTAATTTACCGCTGAACGAGAGAAGGACCCTGCAAAGGACACCAATTATATTCTGACCTTGGATTGGTTTTGAAAAATTGCTGTGTCATTGAAAACAGAAAACTCATTTGGCAAGTTGATTTTGAAAACTGTCTCCATAATAAGCCTCTTTTTTCTTGATGGGAAGCATGCCCCTTTCAGAAAAAAAAGGGAAAAAGAAACTTGTTTACAGAATTCACAAAAACTATTTTTGCTTAAGAATGAAATTCATATGAAAACAATAGCGTTTTTGAGGTTTTTAGTATGTTCTGTTTCCAACATATAGAGAATGGAAACTGAAAACTGAAAACAGAAAACAATGCCCAAAATCTGTTTTCAGAATCCATATAAGCTATTTCTGCTCAAAAATAAAAACAATATGAAAAGAATGGATCTTTTAAGATTTTCAGCATTTTCTGTTTCCAATAATACAGAGAATGAAAATGAAAAACAGAAAAATAAAACAAATTCAAATAGCGATTGCCAAGATTTTGTGCTTCCTTCTCACCTGTCGCTACATAGCAGGAGGTCATTGAGCCAATGATATTCATGGTTCCTAATGCAACCATTTCTTTGTTTCCATCTAGCTGATAGTCCTTCATGGAAGCAAATGTTCTTCCTATTGCTACAGCTTCCTGATATCAACCACAGAACAAATATTAAAAAAACAAATAAAAGAGAACAGAAATGCTTAGTTATGGAAACATGAAAAGAGATTTTCAATGACTAAGGCAAGGGTGAAACAAAATTGACTCACTGTTAATGCTATCATACCAGCCACAACTCCTATTTTAAAACCCTTTTGCAGATTATCACCATCAAAATATATTTTATCAACAGAAGGAGGATTGATTCCTTTCTTTATATGCTTTACCTGAAGAAATTAATAAAAATATTAAGTGTTTCAAGGTCAGTAAACAATTTGTTCAGAAGTTCATAATAAAGGAAACGGTACACAACAAGGAACAAATACTTACTATTTGAACACCTTGCTTATCTGCACGTGTTATGTACACAAAAAACGTGGACAAGACAACAGAGATAAGTGGTGCAATAGCCGGTAACCAGAAAAGCCGTTTGTTCTTCTTCCCCTGTTTATCAAATGACATGAGAATCTGGAATTATTATTCAACCATACAAAATTTTAGTAATTATGGAAGAAATTAGAAATGCTTACAATGTACTTGGTAAACAGAAGGAAAGCTAAAAAGGTTGCTCCAATTACTATAGTCTGCCAGTTCCACTGCAAAATGTTGTGAACAAGGGATAGTATCAGACATTCAGTACAATGTATTCTTAATTTCTTCTTCTTCTTTTATTATTATTATTATTAATTAATTAATTAATTAATTAATTGGAGGGTGGTTGGGTTGAGGAACTTACTCCATGGTGGATAGAATCAAATACTGACCGCATCACGGAAACAACATCAGTTTTCTTTGTGAAATCTTCTATGCCAAGAAAACCTTTAAGTTGTTGCAGAGCAATTGTAATGGCAGCTCCAGCCATAAAACCAACAACAGCGGCGTGTGATAAGAAGTCAATTAAAAAGCCCAATCTGATATAAAACCACACCACCATCAAGGAAACAATTTATATGAGCAGGAATAAGCGAAATGAGTTTGAACTTGGTTTTTAGGGCTTAAGAAATTTGTTTTTAAGCACAAAAAGGTAAAAAGCATGAAGTCAGGATTTCATAGCTTTGGGGCTCCAAACCCATGACTTTTGTGGGTTAAAAAATAAAATATATAAATAATAATTAAAAAAAAAACCATTAAACATCGAGTGGCTTTGGTACCTGAGAAACCCAAGGGTGGCTTGAGTAATTCCAGCGAAAAAAGTAGCTGTAAATACAAGCCGGAGATATTCAGCTGCATTTTGAGTAGGATCAATCTCTTTTGTGAGCAAAGTCCCCAAGAGAAGAGACACAACTGCCACAGGACCTATAGCTATATCCCTCGAACTACCCATGAAGGCATATATCAATGGTGGAACAAAGCTGGAGTCTGTAACAGTTTAGACACAAATGAAAGTAAACAACTAAAATCTCCAGAAAAAACACCAAAATATTGTGTAGAGTACCAAACAGGTTGTCTGTAAGGACTATAACTTACACAATCCATATTGGGGATCTAAATTTGCAAGCTTTGCATACCCAATGTCCTGATTTACCCCACAAAAAAAAAAAAAAAAAAGTTGTTAGAAATGTCTAAATGTGAATAACAAAACAAGTTCTGTTTTAGATTTTTATCTCTTGCAGTGTCAACACTACCTGAGGAATACAGAGACTTGCGATGGTTAATCCAGCAATGAGATCCCCTCTAAACTTTGAGAAATTATAACGTTGAGCCCATTCAAAAATGGGAAGATAGCTTGCAAACCAAGGATGAATTTCCTGGACTTAGGTTGGTCTTTGAATGGACGTAGAGGATCATCAGCAAAGAATGTCTCTTGCACAGTGGCCTTTAACTCCTTCAAAAAGGTTTGCTTTCGGGGAACTCCCACCTTGTGAATGTACGGAAAACTATGCTGCATCTCTTTCATTTCTAGTTCCCCTTCAGCGCAATGAGCCATTGAAGAGAGTGTTTAGATTCACCTAGAAAGCAGGGTGGGAAGAAATTAAGAACAAAAAGAAAGACCATATTGATCATATGAAGAAATAGCTAATTCTATAATACAATAAAAGAATGCACCTCACATGGACATGACCTTTGTGATGGGCATTTCTAAAGAATAAAGAATTGGCTTTTTAAGTTTTTGGCAATTGATTTATTTAATACAAAAGGCACATATTCTAGAAAAGCAAAAGCTCATTTTTTACTTGGACTTTGAAAAATCTCTAAACCAAACAAGCATCTACAAGGAGTGGTTAAAGAACTTTCAATCAATTTGACCTAATTGTTCTAAATGTTTCTCATGAGAGGAAGCCCATATTTTTTGACTAGAATTGGATTCAGAAAGTAGCAAAATCATATGGCTCAACAGATAAAAATGGCGAGAGATTTTAAAGCTAACCTCAATAAAGCCAATTCAAGACTCTAAAAGAGTGCAGTGGCTCTTGAACACTAGAATTCTTATACACACACACACACACACACACACATATATATATAACCATATACATTTCTTGAAGAAGTTACAGGTCAGACTTCCCAAGCCGGCAGAGAAGCTTTAAAGTGTGAGTTACTTGACTTATACACCATTGAAAAACACGGACGTATCAAAGTTGTGACTTACTACTAGCAAGTGGTTTATCTAAGAAGCAGTGATGTATGCTAGTGGATTTTCTTTTCCAAAATTGCGCTTTCTAAGGAAATATCTGGGTCATAAGAATGTTTGATTAGGAGCTTGTTACAATTATCTATAAGAGATTTTCACCAGATAGTATGCTAATAGGTGCCCTTCAAAAAAATTCAAAAAAGCCCAAAAGCTACTTCCAATACGGTCAGAGGTTATACCATAATTCCATTTGGTAAGATTTTTAAGTTACTTATTTGTGATTAAAATAAATCAGATTGACCACTTGATTCTTTTCAATTATAAAGCACAAGATAAATAAGCAACTTAATAGAAGCTTTAATAGGCCTGGGAACTGTCCAAATGGTTCCAATTTATTGCTAGTCTTCCCGAGGATAGGTCTAAGTCGCCTTTCATCTTTCGAAGAAAATCCAAAAACCAATAATTAGAAAAAAAAAAATATATATATATATATATATATATATATGAGAAAGGAACCAATTGAGACCGGTCTAAGTATAAAACTTAAACTAAATGTTACACCATTGGTTTGATCAAAATTAACAGATGAGCTTAATTAACTGCAAATTAATTAAAATTAAAACATCAGATTAATTAACTGTAAATCAATTATTGAAAGTTGTTCAAAAATAGTTATAATTAATTTCATTCGTTAATTTTGACCAAATCAAAAGTGTAAGTCACTTACACTCACTATCAATTAATCCTTCTCTCTCTATATATATACATATATAAAGAAGTGGATTTCAACAAAAATAGATCAGAGAAATAAGCTTAAACCATAAGACAAGCAATTCTTCGCTAATTCTATTACAGATCGACATCAGACTTGTAAAATAAGTTAAATGCCCCAAACCAAACATCCCTTCTGGGAACAACAGAGATTACGATTTCTTAATTGCATGCATATGTTTAATTTATTCCACCTACACGGTTCCCAACTTCTCATAAAGCAATAAAAGAAATAAAGGGGAAAACAGAAGGATCAGAAAACAAAATTTGAAACAATAAACAAGATAAAAACTAGGGTATAATTAACTTTTGTGAAGTGGGCAGTCTATACTTGGTGCTTTTTGGAGAATAATGTCCAAAAAGCAGAGTCTCACTTAAGTGCTAGCTGCAATTCTAAGCTTCAACAAAGGCCTCTGATAGTGGAAGATACAGTAGCATCCCACGAGACAACACGTCTCTTTTCATGACTATTCTAAGTATCGGCCACTCACACACAGTCACTGTGGAAAGTACACATGTATGCGTACTCGGAATACGTCAAGAAAAAGGAAAAAGAAAGAATAAATTAATTTTTCAAGCACACCTGATGGTTATGAAGTCTCCTGGAGTAAGATATTGCAGTGGCCAAATTTTTGAAGAAGACCAAAGAGAGAGTTCAATTTTGCGACCAGGTTCAATGTACCAGAAAAACCTCAGGTCAACTTTCCGGTGATATTCCGAGAAGGAGCCCTATAAAAGTTCCCAAGCATCACTGGGCCGAGCACCAACGCTATTGTGCTGTTTGGCTGCCGAGAAAATTTGGGAGAGCCATCTTGCCCCCAGACAGCATGAATGGAAAGCGACAAAGAGAGCAAGACTTATATACGTGACTTCTGCACCACGACGTGTGGGTTTCTCCGACCACGTGCGAGGAAACCGCTAGTGGTGCTGCGGTTCAAGAGCGGTAATTGTAAATGTCAAAAGCTTAATTTTTTTTTTTATCGATAATGAGGAATAATAAGAATGTTGGTCGTGGATTAGTTAGCCCACTCTCCAAGGTGTCAAAATTATCCCGTGTGTCTCATTTGAATTTAGTACTTTGAAGACAAAATAAGTGTACTTTTCTCTTTAAATAGAGAGATTTGAAAGGATAAGGTAAATAAGCATAACTATTTTTTTTTAACCACTCTTTTTAATTAAATTTTACACAAAGAAATAAATGAAACATGGACAGACAAAGAAATTAAAATTTTTATAATGCTTGATTTTATTTTTTCAATTTTTCAAAATATAAACGCTTTGTGTATAAATTTAAGGCTAATAAATGTTTCTATTTTAAATTTTTTTTTAACTACCAGTGTCTTATCCATTTTGCAGTGAAGTTAATGTAACTATTTCTTTTTTAAAAATTGTACTTTCATGAAATTGAGTAAAATATAAAAAATATTTATTTTTTGCAACATTAAGTCTTCTCGTAAATAAGAATTAAATTCTTTCAAGAAGTTCCACTGGACGGACCTAAATCACTGTAATAAATAGAGGGACCCACTTATTTATTTCAAAACATTTATATCTTATCTATACTTACTGATTTTAAAAGAAAACAAAAGTAAAAAAATCCATTCCTTTAAAATTGTTTGTTTAGATACAATTTTAAGTACAACATAAAAATAAATTGGGAGATTTTCAATTTCTTGTAATCATTATTATGAATCTTTTTAGTATTTAAAAATCTTAAAAAGAAAAATAATTATTTTTATTTAAAATTTTATTATACATAATTTAAAAATAAATAAATAACAATCAAGTTTGAAAGAAAAAAGAAATATTTTCTCTTTTATTTTTAAAAATAATCGCTAATTTTCTCTTTCTTTCAATTATGTCTGAAATTCCAAAGTGTAACCAGCAAGTGGTTGAGCTCAAACTTTTTCACATGTGCAAGTAGTGTTTTTAAAACCGGAACCGGACTGACCAGTTCAACTAATTGAACCAGGAACCGGCAGCCATTCCAGGCCGGTTGACTTAAAAAAAACCATTTGGCATTTGAACCGGTAAGAATCGGTCAAAAATCGGAAAAACCAAAAAATCGGTTTACTGGTTTTGACCGGTTTTTTTCTTTTTTTTTTTTTACTCCCTTTTTTGCAAGCTATTCATATAATTTCAGACGTGGGTTTTTGGTTGGATTTGAGGAGCTTTGCTTTGCTGTGAAGAAGAAGAAGCCATGCTCAAACCAGTAATAGTTGAACAGCTTTAGCACTTGTTCAGCTTCTCTTTTTCTTGTTCAGCTATCAGCGCTTGTTCAGCAACAACACCTCAGTGATGCGAACCTCGGAGAGAGAAATGGAAAAGAAAAGAGAAAAGAAAAAGCCAAGAAAAAAAACGCAGAAGAGACACCCAGAAAGAGAATGGGAAAAGAAAAAGAAAAAAGAAACAAACAAAAAAGTGCATAAGAGAAACAGAGAGAGAATGGGGAAAGAAAAAGGAAAAAGAATAAACATATACGAAGAAGGGTGTGGGAGAAATTATTAATTAATTTGTAGTGGGTTTGCTTGTCAATCTTATAGCCACAAGAAAAATAATTTGTAAAAGTAGATATTTGGGTTGTCTCCCATCAAAGAATATTAATGTATAAATTAAATTATGATACTTTAAATTTTTTTTAGTTTAATTCTTAATGTTTTAAAATTTTTTATATCAATCATCAAATTTTAAACTTTTTCATTTAAATCTTTTTTTATAAACTCTAAAATTTTAATCGTATTTATTTAAATTCTTGGAACATTTATTTACTTATATTTGCATTAACAAGATTGGGCTCTAGTATATTTTTTTTCAATTTTAAATTTTTTTAGTATTTAGAATTATTAATTTTAAAAAATTTTATTTTATTTTTTTATATTATTTATATTAATATATAAATTATATTATATATAATATCACACTAATTAAATCCATAACTAACAAAATTTCTGATTCTATTATCCGTATGATTTTTAAAAACATTGCGCGCAAGTGCCGTCACTCTTCGTTTGGGAAAGCCCAGGCCTCAAAAGTCCAGAAGTGGGGACGGAGGAGTAGAGTGCAGGCCCGTGCGGGGAACGGGCTGTTGTCCGGGCGTGGAGGAAACGTCAAAGGGTGGTTATTGGGGTAGGTGTTGACTGGACAAATAGCGATTGATTTGAACCTGGACGCGTTTGCGGTCCCGGCTTTCAACCGCATTTACGCGGGGTCAAACGTATGAATGTGGACGTGAAGAAGCCAGTATTGGACTATTGCATGATTCTGTCGCTACGTATACGCTGTCGTATATTGGTAGTTTGTTTTATGTCTAAAATGCTTTACAATTTTAGAAATTTATGTTATATTTGGAAAGAAAAAAAAATTTGGATTTATGTTTACATTTAGAATTTTATAAGTTTCAAATCTAAATCCCCTTTAGTATTTGGCAAAAAAATAAAATTATAATGATAATTATTGACCCCAACAACTTATTAAATATAAATTATTAGTTTAAAATACTTAAATTCAAATTATTCAGAAAAATATAAGTCATACCATTTGCAATTACTTAAGAGTTATTAACTTT